ACTTGAGCCACTAACGTTATTTTTTAGCCACCAATGAAAAACTATATATATAGCCTAAGTTCACTGTATCATATATCAGCCATTCCACCGTGACTCGCGTTACATTTCTACAAAAATACAACTTTTGATGATCTGGCAGTTCTATCCTATATTAGCTTGCTGCTACTTGTTTAAAAAAACTATTTTAGCAAAGGTACCAGTTATGCATATTTTAGCATTGAAGTAACTTTTTAGTTATTGCAGCCACACTAATATTTTCTCAGATATCATTAACTATTGTATTGTGCGTGACTTGCGTGACGGGCTACTAACACGTGTTTTGAAGTATACTTCACACTTGACTTCTCGTAGAATACCATAAGGTTTATCTGAGTTATACCTGGTGAAATTAAATGAAGGATTCCACTTAATGAAGGAAAATTTATTGCCACTGTTATTTATTTATCGCATTTTGCGAAGCTGGCGAAAGCCAGCGGGTAGCCCTGTATATATAGAGCAACATATATGTATATATATATATATATATATCTGTGTCCCCCTCCCTCTGTGTCTATATATAGATATCTCAGTTCTGTATCTGTCGATCTATCTCTGCATCTTCCAGTCCCCCCATCTCTGTCTCTCTTCCCTTTTCTCTCTATCTCTCAGTGTGTCTCTGCTGGCGCTTCCCTTCTCTCTCTCTCTCTCTCTCTCTCTCTCTCTCTCTCTCTCTCTCTCTCTCTTTCTCTCTCTCTCTCTCTCTCTCTCTCTCTCTCTCTCTCCTCTCTCTTCCTCTCTCTCTCGTCTCTCTCTCTCTCTCTCGTCTCTCTCTTCTCTCTCTCTCTCCATCTCTCTCTCATCTCCTCTCTTCTCTGCTCTCTCGTCTCTCCTCTCTCTCTCTGCTTTCTCTCTCTTCTTCTGCTCTCTCACTCACTCTTTCTCTCTCTCTATCTCTCTCACTCTTTCTCTCTCTCTATCTCTCTCTCCCTCTCTCCCTCTGTCTCCCCCTCTCTCTTCTCTCTCTTCTCTCTCTCTTTCTCTCTCTCACTCGCTGGGTCGTTCACATCGACCATTTGCCCCTGCTAAGTGTTTCCAGGCAGCCAGAATGTGCAGGGCTGTTAAATTCGTGCTGGGTATGTTTGCGTTCTCTGTTTGGTATTGTTTTCTGTTGTAGGGTGGGGGATAAAAACGAGCATACTACTTACACAATCTGCTGTGTGTGTGGTAGTGTACGCTGGGCACACTGCGCGTGCATACGTAAATCTGGCCCCAATTTTAACTTCTATATATTTAAAAGCTCGTTTTTGCATTGCACTGCATTTAAAATGTGTAAGTGGATGAGGCAATGAGTTATCTCATCGCTTTAAAAGTCAAATAATAATGTTATATAAGGTACAGTATGTGATGCTGCGGACTTTTATCATCTTAGTGCAATGTTTAAATAATCTACTTGTGTAAACATTTTTACAAAATTAAGTGCAAATGTCTTTATCAATCCATCACGGTGGCCATTGTTATTATTCCACAATTAACATGGTGCATATATTACTAATTATTATATATATATATATATATATATATATATATGCTTGTTTGTGTGTGGTTTTCAAGAGTGAATATCAGGTGGTGCTATCTTTATTTCTTTCGGAACCGAGCATATTTGCGATATTATCAGGAGTGAATAATAGAGATCTATATCTATTAAATCATCTCTATATATATATATATTCTCTATTATTCTGTTGTCTCTATATCTATCTCTATTATCACTATTATTCACTCCTGATATTATTAAATTTAATTGTTTGCTTGTCTATGTACAATCTGGAATGTGGTTCACTTTTATCGCAGCCAATACGAACCATAAATTTGTGATATATATGTCATTCTGTTTATGCTGTACCCTTTGGCGATTGTGCAATAATTGAGGTTGTATAATTATGCGTGGTATATAATATATATATATCATCAGTCCTGAGTGTATAATAATAGATCTATTATTATCCACTCCTGATATTATTTTAGTGATTCATTTACTTTGAAAACTTTCATTATTTGTGAGTTTGATACAACCAATGAATTGGCAAATTGTAACTTTACCTATATATATATATGTTTGAACTTATTTCTTACCTGCCATGATTCATCTGTTAGCCACAGCCTCTGGGCTTGTCAAATGTACAGTATTGTCTGGAGTTATCTGTTTTAAATATAAGTCGCCCTGATGTAGCCTGTTTAGGGCACATGACATGTAGTTGAATGGCGTCCATGTCGGTGTATGTAGGCATAATATATAGGAAGGGCTGGCTGGGAGCTTTGAAAGTAGTGGGTTACAGCTGCATCTGGGGAGAACTAGATTCATACATGTGGGAGGGAGTGTGATTGCTCAACCTCTCAGCAGTGCAACTGCCTCATAGTGCTTTAGTAGTGCAGAGTTACACCCCCTGTTGCTCAAGTCTGCTTTTAAATGTGGCCAGCAGCCTCACTCAACTCTTTGATACAGTGCACTTTATAAATTTGTAATCATGATCGCTGTTCGCTATAGAAGTTTTTATTGCGCGGCGTTTGAAGCAAGGAGTATAAAGCAGGCGATATTAATGTTTTATCTTCGAATAGCGTGCGAGTTTTCTGTCCGTTAGCTTGAGTTAGGGGTTGTGAAGTTCAGTGTCGACATGTCAATTTGAGTTAAAATAGTTTGTCTTCATTATTGGAAGTAATGCGCTTACGTGCTGCAGTGTACTGCAAACTTCTACTCTGTTGCCTTAACGGTGTATTGCTCGGGTTTTGTTCGAAAATAATAATTGCATTTCCAGATATATATATATTTGGGAGAGGTGGCTTTACATAGCTGATTAAACCTATTGTTTGAAAAATCACCAAGAAATGTGCAAGTTTTAAAATCATTTGAACTGCCCACAGTCCCACACGCATATATATATCTGGTGTATGCTATCCCAAGAATGGAATGTTAAACATCCTCATGTTTTATTTTACAGGTCACTGGTGCAAAACCTGTGCAATTTATATATATTCTCTTTGCTGTAAATACTGGAGTGACATATAATAATGCATGTTTGAAATACCATTCACCTCAATGTACACACTATTTTCTGTAGGCTAAAATGTAGGTGGGTCTGAGCCTCTCTCTGTATACCATCCCGAACCCAATGTGACTCACAACAAACAATAACTAATCGTGAAAATGTGTATCTTTTGTATACAAGTGCGCATGGCGTCCCAGACTCCATCACATAAAGGTATTGTGTGCACACTGTAGGTAAAACTAACCGGATACAGTTGTTTCGTTCATGTTTTACGCACACTGATCTTGCTAATTTGTTGGCAGTGCCTCTGGCAGGAGAGGTTACTAGCCTTGGTGTGGGCACTACTACTGGCTATGGGAAGGGATGTGCAGACACAACTGTGTGGGTGTCAGGTTGAGAGGCACTGACCTGTAACAATGTTACTGCTTTGACAAGTTGACATCGAGCTGTGTTAAGTACTGCAAATTGTACGTCAACGAGGGTTTTTAACCTTTGCAACGTTCTTCCTCGCAGTTTATGCGGAAAAGTCTTGTGGTCATTAATGATTTTTATGGCAGTAAAAGATGCTAACCCTATTGGCACTCAGCTATTCTGTTTTATGGGATACAGCAATGCAAAGTCCTATATATATACATAACCTAAAGAACGAGAGTGTGGCCATTATAAAAGTTAATATATTGCTGGAGACGTTTCCACCCACTATTGCAAAAATGTTTTTATTTGTGTTTAATTATTGTTGTTTTTAATATCAAATAAAAGTATCGAAATTTCATCCTTCTTTGTAGTGGCAATCAGTATTCAGTGAGTGGCAGGCTTCTTACCCCCATTGACTGTGGGAATTGTGGCTGGCAAAAATGTTGAGGATTAAAATTTTAGTTTTTTGCATAAAACAAACAACTGCAGTTGGTAAGAATAACCCAGGCTGTGCTATATATTATGGCATGTGCTGGTCGCTTAGTAAACATGTGCTTATAATTAGATAGGTTACAGTTCACTGAGTGTGTGTGGCAGTGTGCTATGTAAGAATGTGTGCGGATTTCACACTGCAACTGGGAAACAGGGGTCGGGGTATTAAAGCCGCACTATGCGCATCCAAACGCTAATTTCTCCAGTACTAGACTAGCAAATACCTCGTGTCATGCATAATCACACTACCTTATGACAAAATAAACTCTAGTTCCTCTCATTTCACCGCGCGTTGTCTTATAAAAGGCATTTGAAAATACCTCCAATGTTGTTCAAATTCTCCGATGTTGTTGACACTTTCGCGTTGCTCTGCCAAGCAACCGTGGAGTGGTGCTGCGGTACAGCGGTACGGGTGTAGCAAAGATAAATACATGTGACGTCACCTAACCGATTCTTGGTGAAATTGTTTGGCAAACAATTTAGCGTTGGCGTCAGATTACCAGATTTCGCACCTCTTTCTTGTGGGTTTTAAGCAAACGCGCACTGAAATGGGAGGAACTAGAGTTTATTTTGCCATAAGGTAGTGTGATTATGCATGACACAAAGTATTTGCTAGTCTAGTACTGGAGAAATTAGCATTTGGATGCGCATAGTGCGGCTTTAATGTCTTGTCTAGATTAACAGTTGATGTAGTAGTTGCCTTTAGAAACAATAAAGACATCAGATAATTAATTATCAGCTGAGTGACGCTGTTGGCCGATGTAAAAATGCAGAGTAAAGGCCGGAGCTAGGCCGGATGCAGCTATCAACTAGGCAAAAATGTTGGGACAGCCGGTGTTGATGTTTACTGTATTTATATTTAGAAGGGCCCCGTGTCACTGTAGCGTCCCATCCCGATTCCTAATACGTGGTAGCTATTTATACATAAATAGCCAAAGCAAAGTGCTGTCTCCGGTTTGAGTAAAATATTTACGTAATAGAGCGAGATTCATGAAGACCAGCAATCACACTAGATTGGTTAATTGTGCTTCACTGAGTTCTAATACGGATGCAATTTTGTGCTGATTTCAGGTTTCTGAGGCCGAGATTGCGAAGTTAGTAAAGGGATTCGGAGAAGCATCGTCGTTGCAAGCGGAAGGCGTGCATGCCAACGGTATAAAGTACATGTGCCTAAATGCGGGGGACAAAGTCATTCGTGCAAAGTTTAAGAACACCGGACTAGTTGCTGCAAAAACAAATCAAGGTGAGCTACTAGCTCAAAAATAGATGTAAATCTTCCCTTCAGATCCTCATGGGATTGCTACGTAGAGCTTGTACCGGACACAATTAGTTTGGAGACCCATGTGAATGTATACTGAGGGTGTGGAGTGGTCGAGGGTTGGTCGGCCACTAGAGTGAAGTACCATGGAATGTTGTACGTTGCTGTATTTGGTGCTGTGTGTTAGTTAGCACTAGAAATGAATATACAGGTGGTGCAAAGAGAAAGCAAAAGACCATGCTTACATGCTTACTCTAAAACAGGTGTAGTCTACATCAAATATGTGCAGCCTCCCAGGTTTCCTCTCCCTGATACCTCGTCTAGTAGTTAGTTAGTTTTGTTAATCATTTCCAATTACGTAACGTGGAGATTGGCAATGGTTTTCAAGTTAGAATATAACAAGCATAGCAAGTTGGTGTGAATGTGTTTCATGATGTTAGGTTTTGTGTGCTAGTAGCTATGTAGCAGCTGTCAATATATAATCTTCTCCCGATGGCTGCAGTGCTAATGCAACTGAATTAATATAGTGTGCAGTATATATATATTAACAAAGCTGTGCAGCGATGCAGACATATATATGTGCAGTTCTATCATGTTCACGGGTTTCCGAGGCATAGGTTAGGAGTTGGAATGTGGCTGCAGCAGTAGAATTAAGCACTGGAGATGGAATGCTGAAAGTAATCTGTAGTACTGCTTCTCACTGTGGGGTGTAAAACGTTTAGGTAAAATTCACAAATTTACTGGAAAACATATTTAGGTAAAATTCACCAATTTACTGGAAAACGTATTTATTTGCGTATCTTTTGCAGCTGTTCTTATTGGTTACTTTGAGGAGCCGATGCTGATTGGAAACTGCTCAGCAACTGTAGAAAAACTACAAGATTACCTGATTGGTTGCGGTTATTAAGTATGTAAGTATAACACATGGGTTGTGTGTAAATATTTCCCGGGTATTTTAATTTACTTTGGTTCAAAAATCTTCTTTTTTTCGTAATGTGTAGATGGTAAGATGTAGATGGTGTAACCTCTAGATGGTATTCGTGCAGTTTACTTAAAATGTAATGAGAGCTTTTTTAAGTTATTAATCTTCAGTTAATTAAATAACTAAATAAACTACCATCTGTTATAACAATGGAATATTTCTAATCGTTTGTTTAGTTGCATGGTTGTAAGTAAGTACTACGTGTAAATTGTTGGCAAGGCATACTTACTTAATAATATTTGCGTGGAAAAAAAATACTGCTTTTCGCCCCTTTTTAAAAGGTTTTGTGTAAGGTCAAAAGGTTATGTAGACATTTACACTCACACATGTGATTTGCTTGTACGTCACATCAATTTTTTCTACTTATGTATCCTTAGTGTATATTTTTACGTTTTAGCTTAACACTTTCTTTGATATTTCTTTACAGATTGAGAGGCAGTCAAGCAAGTAACCTTGTATCTAGATCCAGCGATCGCCTTGAGCAAGTAAAGCTTCGAAATTCATTGTTAATGACACTGTATACAGTTTTCCTCAGTTAAGACACCCAAACCACTCTAGCTTTCGCAAAAATTTGGAAAGCCGCATACGAACTGATTTGTCGTGTCATTCAAAAATAACGCGTCTAGCTTCAGCCGGTCTCCGTATCTTTTTTGTATGATGTGTGCGATGTACATGTATGTTTTGTAACGTGGTGTCCCGCGGTGCGTGGGGCGGTCTGAAGTCGCGCGGCATTGTGCGCTCGAGCTCGTGAGGTTCGACCAATCGTCGGCCGTCGCAGGCGCTGCCGCTTTGCTGGGAGGTTTGTTAATTTCTTAGTGTTATATTTTTACGAACGTAGTAAACGCAGTGAAACAGCGAGCGGTCAACATGACTGGGCTGGCATGCTGCCAGTCGCGGCTGCAAATCGTTCCTCTAGTTGAAATTTCGGGGGGGGGACCGAATGAATTTCAGTGGGAAAAAAATCATTCGTGATCTGATTGCAATGAAATGTGATGCGGTGTTTTTACGCGACTGCTGACGAATCACAGATTGGCGAGCGTTATCAAAAAATACACAATTGTAATGCGTAAATTTTATAATGTTTTACAAAGTACCGAGACAGTGTTTGGAAGAATTTCTTAAATTGAAGTGAGATCATCAATTCTGTGTTCGTTTCCAGATGTCATTATAGGCATTGTGTGCATCTAGCCATAAATTGCACATTCCAAATCGCTGTATTAGTACTAAAATGGGTAATAAAAACAGAATAATGATATCAGAGTAGGTGATTTTTGTAACCAAGTTTCAGCATAATTCGAATTCAGACGTTTTCGGCGAATCGTTTATTTTTGTACACGAAAGCAGCTGTCAGGTAAAGGCGAGCGATCACGTGTTAACTTGTTTTTTAGTGATAATTTTTGCTGTCTGTCTGTAGGCATACAATGTTGCAGTTTGAGTTTCCCGGCGCTAGTAGTTGCTCGCTTACATATCAGTAAGAAAGTGTCTGTTGTTGGTAAGGACGTGGTGGTGGTGGATTCATGCATGCAGTATTACGGGGGGCGCGTCTGCCAACTGAAGCGGCTGTTACACACCGGGAGTCGCTGTCGCGAGCCTGTGTGTGACTTACAGTTACACTCGCAGCAGATGGGAGGCGCGCGCGTGCGTGTAGTGGCATGCATGTCTAAATGCAGGCGACGTAGTTTCGGGTTGCATACGCTGTCGCTGTCAGCGTGTGGCAGATGGCACGTCTGAAACCTATGTTGGGGGGATGCTGGGCTGTGCAAGTCACATCGCGCGGCCTGTTACCTACAGCAGTCAACACCTCTCCCCCATCATTCTCTGTCTCTCTCTCCCTCTCTCTCCCACTCTCCCCTTCTCTGCATCCCTCACCGTCTTTAGATCGCTCTCCCTCTTTCCAACCCTCCCTCACTCTCTCACTGTTTCCTCTCGATCGCCCACTTAGTAGTGACAACGTGTATTTGTCCGAGGTATGATTTCGCGCGCCGATTGGCGTTCGAGGACGGGCGTCTCTCATCCTCACTGTCAGTCTCCTGCTTTGCTCCGCCGCGCCTCTGCTGCTACACGAGGTTTCACTCGGGGCGCGCGATGTAAGCAAGCACTGCCAGCCCTGGAAACTAATCAAGGTGCTCGCTGTACAGTCTCGGTCTTCTCCCGTGGCCTTACGAGGGCAACGACGCCAACGTTCGACTCGTTTATTCGTGCTGCCAGCTAGCGGCGTGTTAGCGAGCAGAGGTGTGATTAGCTCTAGAACTATATGGCCCTTCACTATATGCCTGTGGCAGAGCGAAGGGCTATAGTTCTAGAGCTAAGGCGCGATGTGTTGAGTGATATATCGGTTTATTTTGTTCTCCGTTCTTACACGTGGATATTAAAATCGTTACTAGTTTGCTTGCTCGGTGGTGTTACTTCTACTCGCGTTAGCGTTCTTCGTCTGAGCGAGGCGGTATCCTGTTCTCCTGCTTGCGTGGGTGGGATTTGTGAGGCGCCGGGGGAGGGGAGGGTGACCGGACTCTTTGCGCAGCGTGTCTGCGGGCGTCAGTTCGGTCTCCTTCTAGTCGGCGTAGATGGCGTAGGTTAACGCCTGCTGCCATCCGGTAGTGGTAGGGCACCTGTGCACCCCGTCTTGCACAGCCCGCTGAGAAATCTAGCGCCTGATGCAGGGCGTGGCATGGTTGAATGTAACGCGCTAAGATGACATCGGTTTCCTCCACACGAGGGCCGTAGTCAGTTCCTTCTAGTTACCGGCGCCAGTAAGTAATTCGTAGAACTTTGGGTGTCATCAGAGAGAGTCGTAACACTTTGCGGGACCTTGCGCTCATTCATTAGAGCTTCCATACATGCAATCACCCTTGGAGCTAATGTCTGTAGAGGTGTAATTGTCACGTAGACAGGAAAGTTCTACCGGGAAAACCGATAAGGGGTCGGCACAATGGGAGTGTTCGGTGGGATAGTCACATCCTCGTGAGTAACCAGCTGTTGACTTGCATACCATTCTATATACCAATATGCTCAGCTTATAGCATTTTAGTTTCACTGATGAACTAAGGTCATGGGTTTTCCGGCTTTGTATCCCAATAATAAATAATTAACACTGTACCGTATCAGCAGCTGGTATCATGATAATAAACGGTCGTAAAATACATTTCGGAGTTGACCGTTTTGTTTTTTCTCTTCTTGTGAATTATGATAACATATAAGTTTATACTACAGTGCTAGACTGATTTCAAAAGTTCCTGACTGTAATCCCTTGATTTGCAACGACTTCCAGAGTCAATATGTCTGCTAACTTGAACCAATAATTTTTTAAATAGTTTGATTTAAAGCGAAACAAACGTTTATAAACAATAATTAATAGGGAAATATTTTGAAAGTTGTATCAACATTAGTACGTGGAAGCAAAGCATCTATATTATTATCATCTACATACCTACGAAAAAATATCATCATGCATGGTGATGGTAATTTACATAATGTTGGTTTGGCACGTTAAAGCAGTCTAGTGCAGGATGTCAGAGCTGTAGTGTGCATGGTCGAGGAATCGTACGTACAGCCTGCAGCACAGGATGGCACAGGTAAACGCCAGGAAATCGAACTCAGAAATGCAGGAAGAGACAAACCCTAAGGATGGGTTGCAACCCGGAAACCCACAGCATCACATAGTCGTGTGGTGATTGTTGCCGACTGGTCGGTCGCAACCACGTCTCTTCCTGCCTCTAGTGAAGTAATATCGATCTAATAGAAATTAATCGCAAATCAATCATGTGTAGCTCTTCTTAAATTAAGTTGCTCTGGCAATGCAGAATCGCTGAATCTTCGCATGCACTGCATGATGCAACGTGAAAGGTGCAGGATAGATAACAAATAGACGCCTAGTGTGTTTGTGACCAGCCGATGATGAGTCAGCTATGACGACGGTGAATCATACCGATAAAGCTTCCTACCGGCTATAAAAATGTACGATCTAGATCGAATGTCTGATGTGTATAGGCTAACAAAACTTTCTACAGTGCCTGCTCGTCCTCCTGTCTTCTTGTTATGAAGGAGATAATACGGTGGGGAAATAAGCTGTTCTTGTACTTTTAAGTAATTGGCAACCAAGGGGCTGAGCAGCGAGCTTGTATTTTAAATGGGAAAGGCTGTACCTGTCGAGGTTGCTCAGGTGTAAGTAGGTCAGTCTATTAGGTACACATCTGTAGATACATTATATCGGCATATCTGTGCAATTCATATAAAGATAGGGCAATGTCGACCAATGTCTGATGGCTATATCTAAGTGCATCTATACCACTTAGGCGGAATTAAAAGTAATTTGACATAGGCTGCAAAAATCCCCCGAATCATTATTGTAAAATATGTCTGATTTCTTCTACAACAAACCATTACTGTAGCATCACAATAACTAATATTTAGAAATGGAAGAAATGAATCACGTGCTCGGTGTTTCACTGATATTTACATTTCTGTGTTTATTCACTGTCAATATTGAAACAGTTGAAATGTACACGCACATCTGTAACTGGCATATAACACCATGGTACGGTTATTACACAAGTATAGAAAACCTATAGCTATGTAGTATATCATGCATTTGTACATAATTGTACAGTTTTACAGTATATCACGATTTAATATGTATATTAGTTTTAAATATTTTTACAAATTATTAGTAACTTGGTTTACTGTGCGCCATAAAAAATCCTCTAAGCACACTTTTTAAATAGAAAAGATGCAGATGTAAAACATCTTTACCAAACATGACACACTTACATGCATTTCACACGTGTTAATAATTTGAACGTGTATGTCGTTTTGCTATAGAAAAACGTCTGCTTTCAAAGAATCATAAGTGCATGCAATAACAATAATAGAAACGAACAATTATCCCAGAGATGACGCTACCACTGCCCACAAGGGCTTCACGAACAACAGAACATTAAACTGTTCTTACTGATACAATAGCATTCTGGGTGAACATCAGATCATACGTTCCTCTATTCAAAATTGAAGAAAACGCGCACAACCGATCACATGAAAATATCTTTTATAACATATAGCAAACGATTTCTAAAACATTTTTTAAAATTATATTCAATGCTATAGTTCGCGAGAAAATGCTTGATAGATGTGAGATATATTGAGCTTGAAGTCACGACGCTTCTGATGCGTTCCAAATGTATTAGAAAAGAAATTCGGTTATGAACTTATTTTTAAGTATGTATGTGATCTATAATCACATTATTTTATAATGCCGCATATAGATTTATATATCACATAATAATTCACGACCAGTGGTTTTTCTCAAAGTACTGTTATGTTAATTATTAATTTGTTTAGTTACTGCTTGCCCTGTACGTGGAAACATTACACCAATTCTAGCATGTAAATTACATCGCAGATATTATCAGGAGTAGTTAAAGGGAGTAATATATCTAAATTCCCTTTATCTACTCCTGATATTATGGAGCTGTCATTGCATTTTACGGTATAACAAAAATATTTCAGAATATTACTTCACTAGGTGGCAGCATCTTGACAGTTAGTCTGTTAGGTAGAATGCATACCGTTGTAACCCGCTATCATATTAGCGACCTACACCACCGAACCTGCTACACTCAACAACAGGCGCATGCCGATGTAGATTTGACTAAAGCTGTGTTAATTTTACATTTGCATTATATATACTGTTTATAGGACATCATTGCACAAATTAACTCAAATTTAACGTTGCGTCAAACGACGTATTAAATGGAAGGGTATTGCGAACAGTGATAAATATATGACAGGATAGAATTAGCTAAGGTAGAGTAACTCTGAAGGACCCGATCTCTTTGTGCAAATTGGTTCACTGCTCTGTAAAGCTTGTAACTATACATCAGGTTTTATTCTTCTGTTGTTAGCTAACGATATCCATCTAGAGTCGCTAACTTTGTTTTTCGGGTTATGTTTTGGGCTCGAGATGCTTCTTCTTCATTAGAAGTTCCTTCTTCCACGGGGGCATTTGCTCTTCGTCATCTTCCAGTTCCTCTGACGGGCCTTCCTTGTGTCTTTCTCTCTGCTCCATCAGCTGCCTCTTCCACTCGGGTATCCCGGCCCACTTTGCTTCCTCTGATTTCTGAAAATGTAAAGTATTTTTAATTAAAGCGTTTAATATATAACATGCTCCTCGTGACATTATGGGATGTCAACACTCACTCCGTGTTTTCCTCATCTCCTCGACAATTACGTACAGGATCCGTCGTAATTACGTGCTTACGTCTTATTCCTGACACAAATGTATTTTCGGTTTGAAAGGGATGGAATTAATAAAGAGGAAGGAAACGGTTATTTGCGGAACGCGGGATTTGGACATTTTAATTACGTATCTAGAAACCGGGATATAACAGTCACATCCTTCGTTATTCGGGATTATAAGTCAACGCGCATGCGGGAAGACCATGAGTTGCGATTTTATTTAACTGGGAATTGACTGGAAATTACATATTTTCTACCAGTGGAACTGGGAGTAAACGCTGCCCCTCTAGTAATGATGTCAGTATAATATGTAAATCACCTTGATCTCATCTTCCTGATGGACCTTCCTCACAAGTAGTTCCTTCTTCCACGGAGGGATCGGCTCGCCTGAAATAACCATCATAGAGTTCACTGTTCGCTGCCAAATGTAGATATTTGTAATTTTATCAATTATTATCAAAATCTATTTGTTCCATTCATATCTCTTGACGCATGTTCTACAGATACATGGGATGCATATAAACGATAATTAAACATATTCATAAGGTGGAAGGGTGATAAATGATGGAAAACTCCATCTGCGCACAACTTTATCTGTTTGTAAAAGATGTTGGGCGATATAAGTGACTCAGCAACAGACAGAATAAATGAAATCCTCAGCCACGTACCGTCAATGATAACCGGTTTAATAGAGTGGTCGTGCGCCTTGCTGACGAGTGATGCCCCCTGGCGGGCATTTTCCTTATTTTCACCGACGTCGTGCTTCTGTTCGCGGATCTCGCTGGGACGAATAAGATGCTCCACGTATACCAGCTTGCTCTTGCTGGGACTTGCAGACGCCCCGTCGTCAGGTGCGCTGTGCTGACTAGTATGAGAGCTCACTGGTTCCGGCATCGCAGATTTGCTGGGGCTGCACGGCCACGGCTTGTTTTCGTCTGCTTTTGCCTGCTCGGTTTTTGATCGATTCAGCTGATTCTTAAGAAGTTCGCTCGGTTTCATGTTCGACTCCGATATTTTGTTCTTCACTAAGCTAGGCTTCAGCAAGTGCTCTTCGCTCGACTCGCTCGATACGCTATCGGAGATCGAAGCGTTCTCCTGTTTTGGCTTCGATGACGTCACCGGCAGACTGTCCGCTCTGACGATGTCACCTTCTACACTGGCGTTCATTCTAACAGGCAATTCGTCGTCCGCAGTGAGGACGGACTCCGGACTTTCGGCATGCGATGCTGGTCGCATAATCTGCTGCATTGAGCTAGGTCTTATGTTGTGCTCCGTCACCACTGTAGGCGCTCCTGTCAGTACGGTGATCACTTTCTTAGCTGAAAGAGGAGCACATTGCAGTTTATATTCGTACAGATCATTAATCACGAACCTTCACTACATGCCTCATTCTCTTCCCTCCATTCTTTTTTATCTTCCTCCTCCCCGTCCTTCTTGCCCTCCTCTTCCCCCTTTCCTCATCCTTCTCCGCTTCCTCATCCTGTAGTTCACTCTTCTTAATCATCCTAAGCATCATCATCACCATCATCATCATCATCATCATCATCATCATCATCATCATCTCATATATTGATACAGACAATCCCTCATACATAATACCAAAATATAAGTCCACATACCGTAAACGGTCTTACCATTTTTCTTAAAAGGCTTCGGTCCGGGTTTTAGTTTGATGCCAGTCTCGATTTCGGCTAGCAGGGAATACCTCTGAGTCTCCGGCGGAGCTGCAAGTCGTACGAATGACTGTTTTAGGGCACAACATAATCGATAATGGTGGCGATCAAATTTACGAAGCGATTGAAAACATATAAAGGTATTCTGCCACAACGAACAATCAACCACTAAAACAACACAACCAACAAAAAAACCCAACCACAACAAACAAACAAAACAACAACAACAACAACAACAACCAACAAACTCACAAACAACAACACGGACAACCAATATATCATAATGAATAACTCATAAAACATATAAAGAAGAAAAGAACAAGAAGAAGAAGAGAAGAAGAAGAAAAGGAGGCGAAAAGAAGGATAGGCAGTAGAAGAGAGAGATGGGGATGAGAATGAGGATGGGGATGAGAATTGGAATGGTAATGGGAATGTGAATAGGAAGGAATGGGAATGGGAATGGTAATTAGAACAAGAATGAGAACGAGGATGAGAACGAGGATGATAATACATGGTTTGCATACCATCCTGTTGTTTGTATCGTCCTGCCACGCTGCTAGTTCCGTCGAGCATGTTCGCATCAGCACTTGATGCCATCATGGGAGGTGGAGGTGGTGGTGACGGGTCATCACGATGAATGACGGAAACCTCGTCCTCAAACGTCACCGACCTTCTCCTATAGATATCACAAACATGGCAGGCGGACATCACATCACCGTATGAGATGACGGGTGCTTCTAACCACTTATCACCTCGTAGAGAAAGTTTTATCGCAGCAGTCAAGCGTGGGCGGGAAATGCTTATAGAAAGCCTGTCAATTTATGATGTAATCGCAAATTTTCACGAGGCGTCTTTCAGCCTCGTGCCGTGACTGCGAAGTTATGATACCGCCACGTTTCGCAAGTGGCTGAAAAGCAGTGCGATCAATATATACTGGAAATGCACATGATAAGGTTGTCTCCTTAATATTTCACGCTGCACCAGCAATCCCGTCACGTAGTGATTCCAGTTTTTTTTATTAATAATTTACTTCGACAATGACTGCCTTAGCGGTTCTACCCAACTCTGAAGACGGTCAACTCTAAGAGCTGAGAACTGGCATATATATATATAGTTATTTATATATATATAGTTATTTATATATATATATATATATATTTGTTTATTTAAATATATGCTAATAAGATTTGCTTTAATTACAAAACATGCGCAACAACAAAACAACTAAACGTTGTCGTATAAAAAATCGTATCGTAGCGAAAATATCGTTTAATCGTATCAATATCGCATAATCTGATTACATACCTTATTGAGCTGTTACTGCCGGCCGAGCTGGCTCTCATGCTGGGTGGACTATTCGACGATGCCGTGGTGGATGACATCGAATCGCTTATAGAGCTAGATGTCAACGATGATGGTTGCCGATGACCACTAGGTGGCAGTCCTGCAGTGATAGCGTCAGGAGGCAGTGCAAGCTCGGGTAGCTGTGAATCTAAGTGGGCTTTAGTCTCATGCAGTTGCTGCGGATGGTGATGCTGTTGTGGTGGTGGTTGTGGTTGTTGTTGTAGTTGTTGTTGTTGTTGTTTTTGTTGTTGTTGTTGTTGTTTTTGTTGTTGCTGCTGCGGCTGCAGTAATTGTCCATGTTCTGGATGTTTTTGTTGCTGTTGTTGTTGCTGCTGCTGCTGTTGTTGTTGTTGTCGTAATAGTTTTAGGTGCTGTTGTTGTTGCTGCTGCTGTTGTTGCTGCAGCTGCTGCTGTTGTTGTTGCTGCTGCTGCTGCTGCTGTTGCGCATCACTCACTCAGCCTCTCCCGCCGAGTCAGCCTCAGCTAAGCAAACACCACGCCGACACAAGCACGTGACGCCGCGCCGACGATGCGCGGGACGGCGACAGCTACGTCCGCCATGTTTACCAAGCGCTGCCGTTCACCCGTGACGTCACTGAAGCAGACGATACCAGCAGCGAGAGTGGTGAGATCATCATGGTGAGTATCTCGACGGGGTCGACAAGCTAAACAAAGATGTGAGGACAGCGATGCGTCCACCATGCCCTCGCCGATGTACGGAATAGCGCCGTCGGTCGACATCTGTATACTTGACTGCTACAATTACCACCGACTAGTCTTATTCAGTGGACTCGCGCAAATAATTCGCGTCTCCAGTGCGACGCGAGTGGGAGAAACGGTCCGTGCGCTGTTAAGTACGCGTGTAGATTCACGCGCCTTAACGCCCGCCATATACGTGTCCCACGTCCATCAGCTGTCATCGAATTAGGACTGCGTGTTAGCGAAAACATGCGAACTCTGCCAAACCTAGAACAAGACGACTCTTGCGCTTCCTGCGAGGAGCGAGACGAACATGACATGACCGCGTAGTAACAACTCTCAACACTCTAGCAGCCGAAAGAACGAACGTGGGATGAACACCGAGTTGACACAGCAGCCATCGTAGCTCTGCGGCTGCCACACCACGCCACTTATCTCAACTTCACTAACAGCAGCGAACCTCGTAGGTACGGGGTGCGAAATTAGCGCGAGTCCGGAGTCAAATACTCCCTGATTACTGTCAGACTCCCTAATTTGACATATGCAGGAGTCCGTGTGACTCCCTGAAAATTCTACCATACTAAACTAGTTCGTTCGGGAAACGGCCTCGCGGAATTACTGTATTTTTTCAGCTAATGTCCAAAGAAGATTTGGCAGACGTGCAACTGCATGAATCTTAAAGATCTTTAATTTTGAACCTCAGACTGCAGACTCCCTCATTTTGCTGCGGGACTCCTCTTTTTGAGGGTTGACTCCCGCGTGTTCAAAAGTTAATTTCTACCTCTGTAGATACTACTATAGAACATCGTAGAACCTATAAATACTACCTATAGAACCTCGTAGAACCTATGATACTTCCTATAGAACCTCGTAGAACCTATAGATACTACCTATAGAACTTCGTAGAACCTATAGATACTACATATAGAACCTCGTAGAAGCTATAGATACTACCTATAGAACCTCGTAGAACCTATAGATACTACTATAGAACATCGTAGAACCTATAGGTACTACCTATGAACATCGTAGAACCTATAGATACTACCTATAAAACCTCGTAGAACCTATAGATACTATCTATAGAACATCATAGAAACCTATAGATACTACCTATAGAACCTCGTAAAACCTATAGATACTACCTATAGAAACTCGTAGAACCTATAGATACTACCTATAGAACATCGTAGAACCTATAGATACTACCTATAGAACCTCGTAGAACCTATAGATACTACCTATAGAACATCGTAGAACCTATAGATACTACCTATAGAACATCGTAGAACCTATAAATACTACCTATAGAACTCGTAGAACCTATAGATACTACCTATAGAACATCGTAGAACCTATAGATACTACCGATAGAACATCATAGAACTATAGAATACTACCTATAGAACATCGTAGAACCTATAGGTACTACCATAGGAACATCGTCGTAGAACCTATAGAACATCGTAGAACCTATAGATACTACCTAATAGACATCGTAGACCTATAGGATACTACCGATAGAACATCACTAGAACCTATAGATTACTACGATAGGAACATTCATTAGAACCTATAGTACTACCTATAGAACATCGTTAGAACCTATATAGTACTACCTATAGAACATCGTAGAACCTATAGAACATCGTAGAAACCTATAGATACTACCTATAGACATCGTAGAACCTATAGTACTACCTATAGAACACGTAGACCTATAAATACTACCTATAGAACTCGTAGAACCTATAGATACTACCTATAGAACCTCGTTAGAACCTATAAATTAACTACCTATAGAACCTCGTAGAACCTATAGATACTACCTATAGAACCTCGTAGAACCTATAGATACTACCTAGACCCCCGTAGCTGCGCTCAGCTCATGTAAAT